AGGTAGTTTCTTTATGTTGTTTTTTTTACGCTAGGCTGTCAGATTTGCATCAGAAGGTTGAAATTGCTCTGTGATGTTTTTGTTATGTTTGCTACCATGTGTGAATCCGTGAGCGTAGCCAAGGATCGAGAGAGATAGTTTATTTCTGTTATTTCCTTACGTTTTCGTGCACTTCATAGTCCAGAGATGATCCCTTTTTATTGTTTGCCGGTTTTCTTTTTGTATAGAGTTGTTTTGATGATTTTGTTTCCTAGGATCAGATTATGTTGGTGTGAAGTTTTGTTTAAGAATCTGCTGCTGCAACAAGCTTGGAGTTCTCGGCTCATTGCAGCAGTCTGGACAGTTTTGTCTCTTTGATTGTTGGAATTTTTCCTGGTTTGCTTGTTATTTGGTTGGAGTATCATGTGCATGCTTGCCGTGGGATCCTTTCTTTGCATCTTTCTTGCATTATTTCATAGCTGGTTGCACTTTCGCATATGTTGGAAAAGCGTAGAGTAATTCTTGCCGCCACATGCTTGTAGCTTTCGGCTTTGTTGCCGCAATCTTGACACAAAAAATTTCGGTCTTTTGGTTTGTTGGAGTGGCTGGAATGGCTTGAGTTTCCTTTCTGGACTCTGCCTGGTGTTTTGATGATATCTCCTGTAGGTGCTTGCTGCTATTTAAAACAGCATTATGCGGCATGACTGCATGACTGCAACATGGCATTCGTTCAATGCCCGTTGCTGTATTTTGAAACCTTAGCAGAAATTTTATGCTCATTGACAGTAGCTCTAGGTGTAGTTCCATTCTGAATGTGCACGGCCTCTCCCTTTCCTCTCACTATGAGATTCAATATGTGGGTGTGAGTATGCTTGTTATGTTAGAATAATTTCCTCTGATCAGAGGATTGAAGAGAACCTGAAGTTTCGGAGCTTCACTGTTCGTTTCACAACTTTCTGTATTTTTCCTTTCGGGCTTAGCTATGTTTCTACTCTTTGGGTTTGTTTCATTACCTGGTTTGTTATTCAAATCTGATGCTTTAAAGGGAATCCGCATGTAACAAGGAAAGTCGCAACTAGTTTTGTTGCTGGAAGGTTTCATCAGTTGCCGAAGCCTTCAGTTGCAGCAATCTACTTCCATCTTGCATGAAAGTTTTCATAAGAATCTGTATATTTTTCTGCTACTTTTTTGCTTGATTGGATATGGAGTTTTGATTGATTTTGCCGCCTAATACAAAGTTTGGATAGATGAAATAAAAGCTGCTTAGAATTTGCTTATGAAATGAAAATGCAGCCGGCGTACATTTAGTTGCAGAAAGCTTCAAATGCAGAAATCTTCTTCGTATGCATGCATGCAAATGTATTCTAAAAGTTACATAACCATACCTCAAGTCTCTTTTTGTTCCCTTATGGCCAAGAAACTTTGGAATGTCAATCAATTTTGTTCCTTTTTGACATGATTGTTTTCCTTTGGTCTTTTTTATCATTTTATGTGTCTTTGGACAGATTGTCTAGGAATTTAAGGATCTAAGGATTTAATGATTCTTGATAATTTCTAGTTTTAACTTGAATTTTTATTAGTGAAATTTTGAATTTTTGTTGTTTAATCCTAGCAAATTGCTTTTCCTTTATTTTGTGAATTTTCTCATTTGATTTGGTATGTTTCACCTTAGATTCTTAATTTTATTTCTTTTTAGACCCTTAGTGTTTATAATAATAAATTGGCCTTTTAAACTTCTTTAATCTTTCAATTGGGTCTTTGTTTGTCTTAATTGGTTAATACGAGTAGTTTACTTTCCTTGGAATGCTTTGAGTGATTCAATTTAGTGTTTATTTCCATTTCTTCTGATTTATTTGTTAATTAAAGTGATACCTTGACATTTTTTATTATTTTGGAGGGTAAATAAGTAACTCGTTCTATTAGAACCCGACTCAAGGGAGGTACACTCTATCCCTCATTTTCATTTTATTTGACCCTATGTGCATTATGTGACTATATGTGTTTAAATTGCATGCCTTTTGAATGTTTTCTTTATTTGTTTATTTTTCGCTCTATTTGCTTAATTTCGTATATTTATTTAAGTTCCTTTTTTATCATTTAAAAGGCACTTGAATGCCAATTTGTAATAGTTAGGTATTTCTTGCAACTATTTATTTTATTTCCCCCTTTTTAGATTGTAGTAGGCTTCCCCTTAAAAAATGTAATAGTTAGGGCCTTAATTGCCTTATGTGTTTTGCATGCTTAGGTGCTTGTGTTTAATTGCTTTCTTAGGTTTTGGCATCTAGATATGCATGCTTATGTGTTAAGTGAATTACGTGCTCACATGTCTACTTGCTTTAATTATGTACATTACTTAGATATGTGTATGATGGATGCAAATGCACGTAACCGTGGCTAGTCCAATGCTAGTCATGGTTGTCCTCTCGAGCTCTTACAAGTCCAATGCTTGTGAGAGAGCGTAGATGTGGGCTAGTCCAACGCTAGACCCAATAGGGCCCCTCCTCGCTCGCATGCCTTCACTACATCTCCATTCATTCTTTCCCTTTAGTTTTTTTCTTTCATTTTTGTATGACCCTTCACTCCCTTTCCCTTACACATTTAGGATTACATTTTCATTTAGATTAGCTCATTTGCTTGTATAGGTTAGGGAGTCACCCCTTGGATATGGGATATGGACGAGTTTGGCTTTCTAGCCTTAGCACGCTCGTATTCCCTCTATTAAAGGGAAAATTGAGTCACGGATATTAGTCCCCCGTACCCGTCTTGCTTGCATTCCTCTAGGGTTCATGCATTTCATTTATCCACTATCACATGCACTTTTGCTTCATATTCTATCCTTTTTTCCACATTTTCACTTCACACAACTTTAATTTTGCACGTTTTCACTCTGCCACTTACACTTTATATACTATCACGTGCACACACGTACTTCATACTATCACTTTACTCACCTTACTTTGTACATCAGTTTGCACACTTCCACTTACACACTATTGTTTTTTATTACTTTTTCACTTCACACAAACTCATATTTTCACATTGCATACATTCATTCCACTCATTTTTACGTCATTAGCATTATTCGTGACCTCTCCAAAGAGTCATCATTGGGCATCACTATTAATGTGATTGGCACCATTCAAACTTTGAAGAGAAATTTTGCCCCCCGATGCCCCCTAGGTCTAGGGTTTGCATTCATATAGTACATCCGAATGTGATAAATCTTTTGGTTAAAAAAAATAATAAGAAAATTTTTAACTAAATCGCGCAACTAGCCTTGGCTAGGTTGAGAGGGTGCCTTGGACCTCGTCCTTGCCTTCCCTCTCATCAAATGTGACTCCCGAACACTTTTCTCTGATTTTTGTAGACTTAGGAGTCGTTTGAAAGGGTTTTTTCTATAATTTTACTCAAAAAAATTTATTTTTTAGGTGACTTGGTACACCTTAACTCAATACCAAGTGGCGACTCCAATTTTTATTCAAAACCCTTTTAAACTATTATTTTGGGTCGAATCGTCGCATTTTCAAGTCCCATTTAGACCCCTGTTTTTCTTCATTTCCTTTGTAAATTAAAATTCATTTTCCAACCATTTATTTTTCTTGTAAAAAATGGGGCGCGACATTGACTATGTCAGTAAATTACATGGGATTCCTCAAAGCATGCTTTCAGGCAGGGACAGGATATTTGTTAGCCAATTCTGGGGGGAGTTATTCAGTATGTTGGGGGTCAAATTAAACTACAGCACAACTTATCACCTCAGACTGATGGCCAGACTGAGAGAGTCAACCAAGTGCTGGAGATGTACCTCAGGTGTCTGACACATATGGAACCTAAGAAATGGAACTAGTGGTTATCTTTGGCAGAGTGGTTGATGTGAATCCCCGATCTAGACAACCAAATCACCATGGCTTAGGCAGCGGAAATTTGACCCAACTAATCCCTAGAAGTCACGAACAATTTTGATATTATCTCAACCCGCGACTACTCGAATTAACGAACCAAATTGGAGGTAGTAGAACGCCACAATCAAGGAGATACTCGATTGATAAGTTCGGGTGAATCACTTGAGAAGATTCTCAAGTATTCAAGGGAAACTCTCTTGCTAAAGAGAAAGTGAAAACTCACTAAATTTATTTAATAGCCAAAAACTGATTAAACAAAGAGGAAGAGCGGCTATTTATAGCCCTTACAAGTATTAACCCTAATCCAAAAGTTGACCAAACTAACCCTTCATACTTAAGGAAGATTTTGGGCCTTACTTACTAACAAATGAGCCGCAATTAAACTAGCTTAATTACCTAGGATAAGGCTACGAGTGTCAACCATTTGAAGACAGGTTGGCCGACTTTCTAAAGCGAGAAATAACCAAAATCAACGAGGAAAATCAAATAATCCTGCTAAACTCAAACATTCGTGCAATCAACTAGCCTTCACTTGAATCTCCCAATTCCTCATGTATTTGAATGGGCCTTGGGTCTTCATGTTCTCATCATTGCTCTCCTCTTAAAGGCGATTTGTCCCCAAATCATGACTCTCTTACAAAACAAAAGTGATGAGAGCATGTGTATGGTCACCAAACAGCCTGCATGTCGCCTTCTTAAACGAAGAAGGATCATGACATCCTTGTGTGAAACAAGGACAACTCGTGGTGGTGGTAGATACATGTCATGGACAGCAAGATTTCCATGACAATGGTCACACAAGCGACGTCTCAACCCTATGGGTGGATCGTGAGCGGACGCCCGGCGAACCAAGGTTTGGTTGGGCTGCGAGTTGTACGCATCAAGATGTGCAAAAACTGCATCAAAGGCCAATGTAACCCGACTAGTGTGGGTTGGAATTACTTGACCAGCACTCTCTTCGCAGATCTCTATGGTTGCGGGTATTGCACACTACAAGATGAAGGATATCTGACCACGAACAATCCGCACAAATGAAAACACGTTAAACACCACAAAGGTTGAACGATTCAGCTCCCAGTGCCCGATGTTGTCCTCAGCCTTAGCGAGCATGATCAATGTTCACCCTTTCTTCTCCTTGCCTTCCAATCCATCCAACTCCCATTCCCTTTGTAAAACATTTTGGTCCTCTCGAACTTGCGTAGGTGAGAGTGGAACAAGTATGATCCTCGTCCCTTTATGCATGAACGAGTATTTGTTGGAATGACCTTCATAAGTAACCTCGCGATCAAATTGCCAAGGCCTTCCAAGAATAAGATGGGCAGCTTGCATAGGAACCACGTCACACACCAACTCATCCTCATATCTCCCAATGTTAAACTTCACGGAAACCTGCTTAGACACTCGCACTTCGCCGCAATCACTAAACCATTGAAGCTTATATGGTGTAGGGTGATCTTGGACAGGTAGGTACAACTTCTTGACAAATAAGGCACTAGCGACATTGGTACAACTTTCTCCGTCAATAATCAAGCTACACACTTTACCGTTAACTAGGCATCGGGTATAGAAGATGTTGGTACGCTGCTCTTCTTCATTTGGGCGTTGAGTACTCAATGCCAACCTTGTAACAAGGCCTAGTCCAACTGGTTGGTCAGGGGCAACTATCTCTTCTTCCTCAACCAATGGTGGCATGCCTTCATACTCATCCTCCTCATCCGTTAGCACTTCCCCACTTGGTAGCATGAGCATGGCCCTTCGATTTGGGCATTGGGACGCGATGTGACCGAAACCTTGACACTTAAAGCACTTAGTGTCGCGGTTTCTAGGTTTAGATGCCCCTAGATCAGCCTTAAATTCGGCCCTTTGGGTCAGTTTTGAAGATGACGAACCAGGCACCCATGCCCCATTCGAAACCCCACTTGCCTTGGCTGACTTTTGCTTACTCGTGTGGGTAATCTCGCCTTTATACTGCTGAGGTCTCCCATTTCCAGATTGGACGTTGGAGCTTTGGTGGGGGATACCCCTCCTCTTGAGCCTCCTTTCCACCTTGATAGCTTTGTCCAATAATTCATCCATGTCAAGATAATGTTGGAGCTCCACAACATCTGCAATTTCAGCGTGTAGTCCTCTTAAGAAACGTGCCATGGTTGCTTCTATATCCTCCCGAACATCAGCCCGCAGCATGGCCATCTCCATCTCCTTGAAGTAATCCTCAACTGTCATACTACCTTGGGCGAGAGTTTGCAATTTATGGTGCAAATCCCTGTGGTAATACGCTGGTATGAAGCGCTTCCTCATGATCCTTTTGAGTTCTTCCCAAGTGCGAATGAGTGGTTCTTCATGTCTCATTTGTCTGGTGCGAATCTGATCCCACCAAACGGCTGCGTATTCAGTGAACTCAAGGGTTGCCAACTTCACTTTTTGGGACTCTGAGTAGTGGTTGCAGTCAAAAAGCATCTCAATCTTCCTCTCCCATTCCAGATATGCTTCAGGGTCTGACTTGCCTGGGAAGGTAGGAATTTTGAGCTTGATTCCCTTTAGTTCATCATCCCCTTGATTAGGGATGCGTTTATAATTCCGGAATCGGTTTTCATCTGCCATGTCCTCCTCATTGTTCGAATCACCTAACTCCTCCACGTATGGTTGTCTCTTGGAGGCATTCTTGCCTAGGGTTGATTGCTCCACCTTATCCTCCAGTGCATCAAACCTTTTGTTCAATTGATTCAAAGCCTCAATGAGATGTCCCATGTCAAAAGGAGTATTAATAGTTCCAACACTTTGAGACATATTTAATTCAACCTGCAAGGAGAAAGGTTAGTAATAAAGTTCCTCACTTCGCTCCCTGAGTGTTTACCCTCACACTCGTGTTTGCGCTCAAGTGTTTAATCACTCAAAGGTTCTCACCAAGCAACACCCAAATTCATCAACCTCCTCAATTGACGAAACCAGAATTTCTCAAGTGGTCAAGATTTATTGGAACAGAATTTAATGGCTCAATTATGCGGAGGCTTTGCTGGAAAAAATTCCCAGGTATAGGTCGACTAAAGAAAGACATGGAATTGAGAAGTAACTAATTTCGAAAAGTAGACTCAAACTAGGAGACTGCCGACTCAATTTAGGAGACTAGGTAGTCAAATCTGATTGGAACTCCTTTTGGTACTTGGACACGAGAAGAGCTTAACAAAAATGACTTAGAGACACAACTTTATGGACTGAACAGACTAGAGACAAAAAAAAAGACTCAAAGAAACGGTTGGCAGAAATTTTGGAGCCTAGAATACTCTACCCAAATTGCACCTTGGCTGGAATTGTGTTCCTAAGGCAGCCTTGAGTATTTTGGAAGGTCGGTTGCTATGTTTTTGGAAGGCTAGCACGTGTGCAACAAGTTGACAAATCGGATATGGCAGTCAAGTATGACTAGGAGTTGTTTCCAATCCTAAGTCAATATTGATTCCAATTTCAGATTGCGTTCTTGTCCTATTTCAAGAAGGATCCGAATTACTTTGGGCAAGAGAGAATGAACAGATTTCTTCTTCTTCTTCTTTTTTTTTTTTTTTTACACACAACGATGTAACTACCAAAAAAACAGCCTAAGAATAACACAAATAATTCCCAGAATTTCCAGAAGTTAAAAGCGGCACAAGAAAGTCACAAAACACTGACGGCAAAATTTTTTTGCAAAGGATAAGACTGGCGGTCAGTTTGCATGTGGTTGCGGACAGTTTGCAGACTTGAAAACAATGCCGACCAGACTTGAAAACAAAGAACACTCAGACCCCACACGATGTTCCTTGGTTGTTTGTACACGACTCAAACAACACACGACCCCACACGCATGAAACCAGCAGCGGGACAGAAACTAGAGCCAATGAAATTCCAGCAACCTGATTCAAGGCTACTTGGTGCGACTCTCCTTTTTTTTTTTGACAATGGTTTCAATGTCTCAAGCGGTGGTCAGCCTTGTGAGCAAGGTTTCAATGATTGGGCAAGACAACCGCAAGTTCCAAGGCTGCCTTGTGTCCAAGACAGCAAGTTTTCAAGGCAGCCGCACAACAAGAGGTTGGTTATATATATATATATATATATTCTTGTTTTCTGAGCAGGACCCAATCACAGCAATGGACAGCGAGTCTGAGCAACAATAGACAACAACTAGGCACAAACGTGGTGATACAACTTGAAAACTAACGCAAGACACGATGCACACAAACTGGAAATTGCGGTCAGCAACGGGGAGACAAGGAAAAAAGGATTAGCTACTGACCTTTGTTTTTTTTTTTGGTGGTTGCTTTGCACGACCAGAACGACTCAACAACACAATGAAAGGACTATGATTTGATCTAAACAGTAGCAAGAGACGGCAAACAGATTGCTTACGAGAAACAAGACACAAGAACACAACGACGGCACAAAATCTTAGCAGCTGTTTCGTTTTGTTTTTTTTTTTTGACTCAATGACTTCAAGACTCAAACACACAACACTGAGATGCAATTAAGGACAAGAAAACACAGCAGCAATAGACGACACAAGGTGGACAGCAAAGGGATAATTTGCGGACAGTCAAGACAAACGGAAAAGCAAGGAAACTAGCGACTGATGATTTTTTTTTGACACACGAAATCAGATTTAATAACAAACGAATATGACTCGAAACAAAGCAAAAAGGAAGGATATAACCCGATGGTTGTCGACTAGCTCTGGTACCAACTAATGTGAATCCCCGATCTAGACAACCAAATCACCATGGCTTAGGCAGCGGAAATTTGACCCAACTAATCCCTAGAAGTCACGAACAATTTTGATATTATCTCAACCCGCAACTACTCGAATTAACGAACCAAATTGGAGGTAGTAGAACGCGACAATCAAGAAGATACTCGATTGATAAGTTCGGGTGAATCACTTGAGAAGATTCTCAAGTATTCAAGGGAAACTCTCTTGCTAAAGAGAAAGTGAAAACTCACTAAATTTATTTAATAGCCAAAAACTGATTAAACAAAGAGGAAGAGCGGCTATTTATAGCCCTTACAAGTATTAACCCTAATCCAAAAGTTGACCAAACTAACCCTTCATACTTAAGAAAGATTTTGGGCCTTACTTACTAACAAATGGGCCGCAATTAAACTAGCTTAATTACCTAGGATAAGGCTACAAGTGTCAACCATTTGAAGACAGGTTGGCCGACTTTCTAAAGCGAGAAATAACCAAAATCAACGAGGGAAATCAAATAATCCTGCTAAACTCAAGCATTCGTGCAATCAACTAGCCTTCACTTGAATCTCCCAATTCCTCATGTATTTAAATGGGCCTTGGGTCTTCATGTTCTCATCAGTGGTGGTACAACACCTCCTACCACACAACTATTCAGATGACCCCTTTTGAAGCATTATATGGTTTTCCCCCTCCCCAACTAGCTCTAGGACCTTACCTGCAGTCCAGGGTGGATGCAGTAGGAGAATACATCAAGGAAAGGCAACAGTTGGATAACATGCTGAAACAGAACTTAAAGCAGGCTCAGGAAAGGATGAAGAAATATGCTGATGAAAAGAGGAGTGAAAGGGACTTCAGTGAAGGAGATTGGGTGTACCTACGGTAACAACCATATAGACAGAGCTCAGTAGCCCTGAGGGGAAACATCAAATTATCAGCAAAGTACTTTGGCCCATACAAGATAGAGGAAAAGGATTGGGAGTGTAGCTTGTAGGCTGAGTCTGCCAAAGTCTTCAAAAGTCCACCTTGTCTTTCATGTGTCTTTGGTCAAGAGAAAGGTGGGGAACGAGGTCACTCCTACCCTCCAATTGCCAGAAACAAATGAGAAGGGTCATTGGAGGGTGGAGCCAGTAGCAGTACGAAACAGAAGGATGGTAAAAAAGAAGAATGATGTTGCAACTCAGTGGCTAATCCACTAGTGGGGACGGACCCTGCAGAAGCCACATGGAAAGATGCTGAGGAGATTAAAAAACAGTTCCCTACATTTCAATCTTGAGGACAAGATTTGCTGTTAAGGGGGAGGAATTGTAATGAAGTAAGAAGCTAAGAAGTGCAGAAGGAGAGAATGCGTGAAGTAAAACTAAAGGGAGGCGTGGCCAGGCAGGAGGTTGTAAAGAGAAGACGTGGTCTGAAGAAGTCAATCATCAAGCAGTGCACAAAAAAGACAAAGGCGTGAAAGCAAGAAAGGAGAAGGCGCGAGGGGAGCAAAAGGCGCGAGCAGGGAAGCACGTCTTTTCTGGGTTCATGCTATTCTTGCTGATAGTTGGGACCAGTCGATCTAGAAGATTCCCTCTCACGTGACAACCGCTTCATTAGCAAGTGGGAGGAATTGGTTAGAATAGCTTTCTATAAATGATATGATCATGTAATTCTTTAGGATTCATTCAGTTAAAATCTTTGTTATTGTAATCAGAAAGGAGAATATCCCTTCTGTTAACTTTTTACCCAAGTTCTTCCAGCCTTCTTCTTTCCTCTTCTTCCTTTTCCCGCCAATTCCTTTTCTGTAACCAATTTGAAGCTTATCAATAAAAATGGAGGTGTTTATTGAATTCGATTCAGCTTGAGTATAGATTATTCTTTTCTGTCAATCCAATACTTCTATTCCTATAACATTTCTGGCTCTGTTCCACAACAGTGGTGTCAGAGCTCGATTTCGAGCCATAGGGATGACAAAAAACCAGGATGAAACGTTGAGAAGAGACATAGTGGAGTTAGGGAGTGTGGTCAGGACTTTTACCAACAAAAATGAGGGAATGGAACAAGCCATCAGGACAATGGAGTTCAGACAAGATGCTACTGAAAAACTACTGAAAGGATTGGATCAAAAGTATGAAGGGATGATGAACATGATAGCACAATTGATGGCCAAGGTCAGTGACCGTGAGAAGGAGCTAGAGGGAAGTAGCAACTCAAAAGGAGAGGCTAGACCAAACGAATCCAGGATGGAATCACAGAAGGAAGCAGTCAGTAAGAGAGAGACCAGAACCAGTGGCAGGCTGCCTAAAATGGATCTGCCAATTTTTGATGGCGATAATCCAAGGGAGTGGATCAGGAAGGCTAACAAATACTTCAAAATAAATGAGATAGAGGGGGACATGAAGGCTGAGGTGGCTGAACTCTATTTCAGAGACAGAACTGACATCTGGTTCCATGGAGTCTTCCATGGGAGGGAGACCATTCCTTGATCAGAATTATCTACTGCTCTGTGTATCAGGTTCGGAGAAGGGAGTCCAGAGGAGGCCATTGAAGAATTCAACAAGCTGGTGCAGTCTAGATCCGTGGCTGAATACCTTGAAAAATTTGACATGCTCAAAACCCTGGTAATGCCATCTTTACCCCACTTATCTGATTCATATTACAAAGCATGCTTTATGAGTGGACTAAAGGAGAAGGTAGTTAATATGGTTAAGATGTCCAAACCTGAAACCTTAGCTGTTGCTATTGAAATGGCAAAACTCCAAGAAAAGAACCTCAAGGCTATCCAGAAAAATGCAGAAACCTGTCAGTACTAGTTCCAGTAACCAAAGAGCTCCCAGTAAAATAACACCACATCTCAGATGGAACCAAAACCACCCCAAGCACACCAACAAATTCCACGACAAGAATACAACCAATCAGAACCAGTTCAAAAGAATATCCCCCACAGAATTTAACCTGAGGAGTGAAAAGGGGCTATGTTATAAATGTGCGGAACCTTATACCTTGGCCCGCGTATGCAAACAATCACATGTGCATTTCTTGTAAGCTGAGGAGGCTGAGATTATAGAGGAAGAAGTTTATTGTGATTGCATTAATG